CAACCTCCACTGGGTTTCCAAGGTGGTAAATCTTTATGGAAGTAGATTGCCCAGTCTTGCTTCTGCAGAGTGGCTGGTGGGTTTGAACCACCAACCTTCTGTTTAGCAGCCCTAGGCATTGTGCTACCAGAGCCCATAGGGTTTCCACAGCTGTAATCTTTATGGGAACAGTGTCAGGTCTTTCTCCCATGGAACCAGTGGGGGGTTAGAACGGCCAACCTTTCAGTTAGCAGCCAAATTCTTAACGATTGTGTGACCAGAGCTCCTCTTCAATAAATAACTGCATGTGCAAATACATATGCAACCTACAGGTGGCACTAAATGCTGTAAAGAAAAAAGCTGGGGTGGGGTGGGTAACCAGAGAGGGCTGTCTATTGAATGGGGTGTCGGGAAGGGCCTCTCTGAAGAGTAACACTTGAGATGAGACTTGAATGGAGTGAGGCAGGAGAAACAGTCTCTCCTGAAGGACGAGGGGGCTGTAACTGCAAAGGCAGGAGGCTGCCTGGTGGGGTCAGGGAGCAGCAGCAGGCTGGTGTGATGGGGTAGAGAGAGAGGATGGGGCAGAGGCATCGGGCCGGTCCTGGAGGGCCATGTGGGCCACGGCTGGCTTTGGATGTGACTCTGAGGGAGGCAAGGGCAACACAGAACATGTTGGAAGGTGTGAGCAGGGGCACCTGATGGTTTGAGGCCATGTGAACCTGCACTTCCATCCCTGTGTCCCTGTCTTCCAATGTTAAGCCCCTTCTCTTCCTTTTCCAGGGGCTGCAGATGGTGATGAAAAACCCCAAAGTCACCAAACCAGGAAGCAGGAGCCTAAGTCCAGGCCTCGGGCCCTGAAGACACAGGTGCTGGTTTACAGGTACAGGTTTGTATCTGACTCTTTGACACTGTCCCAGCTATTACCATGAGCCTAAGCAGACCCAGTGCAACCATCTCACCCCACCTCAAGTTCCACTCCTTCCTCTCTGACTTCTTTGCCTGCCCACACAAAGACATGGGGTGGCAGGAGCTAGGAGGCCTTGCTAGGTGGCTCTTGCCGGCCCTCTCTGGACCTCAGTGTCCCCATCTGTACAGTGACGGGGCAGGCTGGACCAGCACTGCAGACCAAACGCAGCCCCTGACGGCATTTGCACCACTTTCTGTAGAAGAATGGGGCCGCTTACATGTAGAGGGTTGTGGCTGGGAACTTAGGCCCTGGAGCCAGCCTAGCCATGACCCAGGCGGGGGACTCCCTCTGAGGGTGGTCTCCATTTTCTCATCGGCCAAACTGCCAAATGGGGTTTGCAAAGCACCACCCTCACAGAGCCATTAGGAGAATTAAACATGTGAGCCTACACAGAGGCTACATATATGTGTCATATATGAACCCACATGCCCATATGGATCAGTGAACGGCTGTGCTTTATTTTGAAAGTATATTACTCTTAGTTTGGGGAGGAGTTGAAATATCTTTGCTTTTCTGAAACGATCATCAGTTAAAGGCATGGCCAACACCCAAGGGGCCGTCCTCAACACACCTCACTGACCACTCCTTCCCCCACTGCCCATGCCCTCCAGCCCCAGTCAGATCTCTTGGCTGGTCCCCTCAGCTCCATAAATCACCCAACCTCTCACCCTCTTCCCTGTCACCTCCCTGGTCCAGGCCATCCTTTTCTCTCACTTGGACAATGACAGCAGCCTCCCTCCCTCCTCCCCACCTCAGCAGTCAGGGGGAGTTTTTAAGCCTCTGCATTGGATCGTGTCAGGCTGCTGCTTAAACCCCCGACAGCGGCCCATCTTGTTAGGTGCTATCAAGTCGGTGCAACCCATAGCAACCTCATGTATCACAAAATTGCCTTCCAGCCCGAGGGGCTCAGCTTCCAGCATCTATCGGACACTGCTGCTGGGCTCCGTAAGGTTCTCGTTGGCTGACCTTCAGAAGTAGATCACCAGGCCTTTCTTCCCAGCCCGTCTTCCTCTAGAAGCGCCCCTGAAACCTGTCCACCATGGCCACAGCTAGGGGCACAGCT